TTGTGAAACCTTATGTGATACAGAAGAAAACATCACACGATATTATGTAATACAGAAAGATATGACAATGTTTTACCACTGTAAAGCGACTGAAATAACATCTCTAACGTACGAAATTTACAGGCAATCAACAAGTCGAAGCGCCACTTTATCAAGGGGTAGGTGTAGTGTCGTGTAACAAATTGTTATAAATCGTTTAAATAAATGAAAAATCAAAAAATAAAAACAAAATTGCTAGACTAAAAAAAATGATTTTTTTTATTCTTCATTTTTACGTTGGTAACCTCCGTTACCATCGGATGGAAAGGCTCTCGCTATGACCTAAGTGTATGAAATACAAGTAACAATACGTTTCTTTTATTAAAGAAGCCTAGCTTTAATTATCAGTAAAACTTCAAGTTCCCATTTCGAAACGATTCTGAAATTGTAGAGCATGACTGAACCTCATTAAAGCCCACCGGACTATTTGGAAACTAAATCTTACTTCGACTTGTACGTTAATTTCAATTAATATTGGTTAGACTTGACATTAAAGCGAACTCTATAATGAAGTCCAGTTTCTGTATCTCTTACAATTTCCAAGTTATGATGTGATGATAAGTACATTTAATCGAACAAATACATAGATATTAATGGGTTCAGTAATTCAATACAAACTGATTTTGAAAAAAATGCATTGAAAACTCCATCAAAAGCAACAACTCCAACAGGTTTAGAGATGTAAGAGAAGCATTAAAATTTCCCATAGGCGTCGAAATCGGGGGAAATATGCCCGAATATCATTGAGCTCCTCCAATATTTTGCTGATAATTATTTTATTTTGTTTTTCTATGCAATCGGCTGAATTTGGCAGGCGAAATAAAAGGAGGTTATTTTTATTTGGTAAGTTTGATACATTACACCGTTAGCAACTTTTTGTGTATCTGTGTATTGGTTATTATCTGAAACATACTGCTTATTTGTATTGTAATACAGAGCAAACAATTTAATTTGTATTTTATGTGTCTTTGTATTTGCAATATGGTACTTATTACTGTGTAAAATTGCTGATTATTATCTTAAGAGTATCAGAAAATGTTTGTGCATATACAAGGACCTCAAAAAGAGTTTCACATTATAAAGTCTAAAGTTGATGTTAGAATATTCAAACAGCAGTAACACGTGTTAGTCCTACCAGTATAATAAACAGTTTATCAGAATATTTTAAAATAAAAATGTGAATAAAACTGTGAATCTATATTTTTCTCAAAGGAGGACCACAATTTGCATATTATAAATTATCGTGATTTCCATACGTACGTAAAAACTGCTGATTTGGTGAGAAATGAAATGTACTTTAAACAATCATTTACAAAGAGCCGATATTATATATTTCTAGAGGTACTTGTTTGTATGAACATGTAAAACATATATATATACACAACTGAGTGATACTGGAGATGATTTGAATTATAAATTTGACAATTTCTCTTTTTTAATAAAAAATAAAGGATAAAAGATTTAATATTTCACACATATTATAATATTTGTATTCACTACCAGTAACAAAATACAAGAAACCAAAGACATATAACTAAGAATGTGGGAGTGCTTTTGGGGTGACAAAACAGATTAAAGTTCATATTAAAACTTTTTTCTTCTTGCGATATTAGGAATCACTTCCAAATATTCTTGCAAGGTTAATGACGTCCAAACCAATTATTTTAATAAACGAAAATAAGGCAAATAGTGAAACACAAACATAACTTAGAAATAAGCTTGTGGTGTGCGCACCACAAGCCCCAGAAGTGTTAGAAGTTATTAGTTGTTCTGAAAGTAATAGTTTCTTGTTTTTATTTCTCATTGCTTGCAATGGATTCTGCCTTGATGTATGCAATCCATGGGTTTTAGATTGTGACTCTCCCTTCAGAACTGAGTGACCGACAAACATACGGACTGAATGTTGCTAAAGCAACGATGTTTGCTGTTGGGGAATTTATTATTATTTAATACTAGTGCGTTTTGCTTTCGTTTGTTTGTAGTTAAGCGTAAAGCTACACAATTGACTCTCTGTGCTCTGCCCACTGCGAGTATCGAAACCCGGTTTCTAGCGTTGTAAGTCCGCAGACATACCGCTTTGCCACTGGGGAGGGGGGGGGGGGGCGAAAACAAATGAATGGCACCAATAATAATGCTAAGTAGAAAAAATATTTCACACTAAAAACGGCGAAATCGCGCTCTTTATGGATTTTACGAAGTAATTTATTCCTGGTTTGAGCGATTGTTATGGATGCAGTTATTACCGCACATCGACCCTAAAAAATACAGTTATTACCGCACATCGACCCTAAAACATATTTTGAGTAAACAAATAATAAAAGTTTTTTTTTAAGATGCTTTACGTTTTGAATGTTTGTTAAAAAATTAAATGTCTGAATATTGAGCTTTAAACAATATGCCCTTTTAACGAACATAAAGAGTTTTAGAATGGATCAGCTCTGTAATAAGATGAGTCCAACAACAAAAACAAATACATGAAGAGGCGTTAACCGCTCATGGCACACCCTTAGTGTAAATTTAACCCATTCCAGTTCTTGGGTGCCCTTCGACGTACGAAGGGCAGGCTTGCTTTCCTATTCTATCATCAGCGCTCCCCAGATCTACTGCATGCTTCTCATTGGTCGACACATTAAGCTACGAGCTTTGGGCTGGCGTATTGACGCGGCTTCAGCAACACATTGGTAACAGCAACCCGTCAAATTTAGAAATTAGTTTAGCAGTATGTAAAACCGCACTAACAGACACAGAGAAGTCGCGAGCAATATTTACTCAGAGAACGCAAATGGCGAAAAATACAGAGGCTGTAAGACGGTGAAGATATTTACTTTAGAGTGTAAATAATTGACTAGGTCGTACGCCTATCTATCTATACATCCATCGATGTTGAAAATTACATCATTTTCCTGGTTTCAACGGATTGCTTTGTATAGCAGGGGTTCAAAAATGAATCACTGCCATTTACGGGTTTTTTTTAGAATTATTACAAATCTAGCAAAAATAGTCTTATTAGAGCAACTCACTGAAACATTTTGGACAAATGATCTAATATACGGTTGAAAAAGCTTAATTATATGGTGAAACTTTGATGAATCAGCTGGTCTGATATGAAACAATACACCAAAATTCCAAATGTTTCATGTTTTTGTAATTGCGATACATAATTTTGCGTAAAACAATTAACAAGCACATGTCTTTCGAAGCGAAAACGTTTAAGTAGCTTCACTAAACACTAACTAGGTAGTGTAATAATGGCTGGAGACGGCTTAAATGGGTAATGAAGAAAAACTTTAATACAACTTTAACATGACAGCAAATGTACAACGTTTCGACAAGGTTTTGTCCTTGTTTTTGTACCTGATGATGACAAAACCTTGTCGAAACGTTGTACATT